TTGTACTTGTTTGTAGGGGATGGTCTTCCACTATTGAATGTCGGTATTGCCATCTCAATCTACAGGCATACTTGTAAGGAACATCATTTGTTGTGCATCATTGCTATGATTGTTGATAAGTCATTATGTTCATTCTTTTTTACTGATTTCAATACATGTATAGAACCAATGAGTCTTCTTGCATATCACTTATGTTTGAGGATTTTCCTCCGCGAGTTCCTCGTGGTTCATTCAAATTCGAACTCAAATTCATCTTGCCCATGTGAGTTTGAGTCCAAGAGTCCTTTGTGGCTTTATTGGGTTCAGGTTCTTATCACTCAAATTAAGCTTGAATTAAGTTCAAGATGAGTTTAGGTCGCCAAATTCTACATTGATCTTTGACAATAAATTTGTCAAACATTGATCATCAGCTCCAGTGGGCATGATGCAGTATATGCTGACATCTACTTGAATACATCTAGATATATCACGTGATTACTTCCATTGCATTTTGAATCCCTTTGGTTACAACTGAGATGCTGAATGTGGCTCTCTTGGTGCCACTCGTAGGCATTCATATTCTATGTAATTATGTTGCATTTTATTCGTGGGTGGTAGATTGAATACATAGGGCGCCTTCCACGATAGATTGTGGATGCTTGCATTTTATGTGTATTATACATCTTCACTTGCAAGAGAGCGATGTATCTGGCTGTCATTGAAGGGTTGTTAACTACATGATTGAACACAATTGCCTTTGTGATATCACTAAGAGTTTGTATTGTTGCTTGTGAGTGAACCAACATTTCACTTATATTTCGAATTTTAATGAATGTCCTTCATTCATTCATTGATCTCCACTTGCATAATCAAACTTAGTGATTGATATTAAGGTAATTATACATTCATTAAATTTGATTATCTAATTATGGTTCAAATCCGGGTTCATATCCACTATGCTTGATCCGGATCAAGTCCCAGTGTTCAAATTCACATGTCCCTTGTGTACAACTCAGATCTTTGCTTGAGTTAAAATTGTGTTCACTTGATATTCAATTCCGGTTCAAGTTTGAATTTATCTTATTTAGATTCAAGTCTTGCTTAATGATTTAAATTTTGTTCAAGTACAGGTCCATGTGTTTCATGCTCAAGTCCACTAGTTTGTGTTCGTTTGAGTCCAAGTTTTTGCATGTCCTTTTTGAGTTCAAAGAGGTCCGAGTACTGTCATATTTTCACCCAAAATTTCGGCAACCTCCTGGCGTTTCCCTCGTTTAGGGGAAAATTATGAAAAATTGTTTCTTTCCCACCACGCTAAGAAAAATGTGTATGGTAGGTGCCCTCTTTCGAGGACATCGCGGCCGTGTAAAGTCTTTGTCCCCATCATGCTAAGAAAAACGTGTATGGATCTTCAGTACATGTTACAAGAAAAGAGCAGTCGTTTCCCCGCAGGTACAAAGCTGCGTACGGTTACTTAAAAGTTATCCCGGCCATGCTAAGAAAAGCGTGCTCCAGGCTTACATGCCTCGTCGTATGCATCGCATCGGATTCCCTCCTAACACGCTAAGAAAAACATGTATAGGTGGTTAGCCGGCTCGTCGCGCACGCCGAGGGCAGGATTTTGGGGGCCGAGGGGTCGCTCACTTATCTCGTCGTAGGTGTCGTACCGGGTTTCCTTCCCACCATGCTAAGAAAAGCGTGTATGGGCGGTCTGCCAGCCCGACATGCATGTCAAGGTATTTTATTATTATTATTATTATTTATTTTTTTATTAATTATAATTAAATATTATTATTATTAATTAATTAAAATTAATTAGAATTAAATTTTTAATCAATTAAAATTAATATACAACTAATTATATTAATTATAGTTAGTATTTAATTAATCATGTGATTAATTATGATTAATTAATATTAATTATAATTATTAATTAATTGTAAGCCTCTCTAACTTTAGTTTTACTAATATGCTAATTAAAATAAAAATCTCTATTTTCACTTAGAGTGCTAAGGTCACTAAAGTCAATTATATTCTTGCAATCTTCATTGAATAACTTAGCAAAATATCTCATCCACTTTTGTTAAATATTCTCTTTTAAAAAAAATATTTTTTGATCTTCATTCTTAATACACTTCACTTGAACTAAATCTATATATATATATATATATATCTTTCGTCCTCTTTAGAATCTAATATATTATATAAATTATTAAAAGCTAAAATCTAGAGAGGGAGTTGAAAGTAAACTTGAATTATGGAGGTCAACATTAGAGACTAAAGGTTTTCAATTGAGTAGATTTAAAACGGAATATATATATAGTGTAATTTTAGTAGTAGTAGATCTAGTGAGGGGATTGTGACTTTGGGCGATCAAGTCATTAATAAGAGTACACGTTTTAGATATATTGGATCTATTATTCAGAGTGATGGTGAAATAGATGGTGATATTATCAGCAGAATTCAAGTTGGATGGTTGAAGCAGAGGAATGCATCAGATTTGTTGTGTGATAGACAAGTACCCCTCAAACTTAAGGGAAAATTCTATAAGATGGCAGTGAGGCCTGTAATGCTTTATGGTGCTGAATGTTGGTCATTAAAAGATAAGCATAATACTAAGTTAAGCGTGGTAGAGATGAGGATGCTTATTTGGATGATTGGCTTTACCCTTAGAGATAGGATACAAAATGAGCATATACATGAAAAGGTTGGAGTAGCTCCAGTAGAAGATAAGATTAGAGAGTCACCTTAGATGGTTTGGTCACATAAAACGGCGGCCTTCTAATGATCCGGTTAGGAGAGTAGAGGTATTAGATTTGACTTATATTAAGAAAGGTAGAGGCAGACCTAAAAAGACTTGGTTATAAAATATTATGAATGACATTTCTTTATTAGATTTAAAAGAGAATTTGACCTTTAATAAGTCACAATGTAGAAAAATGATTCATGTAGCCGACCCCACGTAGTGGGATAAAGGCTTGATGTTGTTGTTGTTGTAAAATTTTTGCATCCTAGATTGACATATTATTTTTTTAGACACCTTATGAGCCTCTTTATATCTTATCCAATTTTTAGAGTTTTTACATTTATACTAATTATTATGACAAAACTTCTTATTTTTTATCTTTTCTTACACAGTTTGATTCTACCGCCAACTTTTTTTATTAGGAGCTTTTTCTTTTGAAACTTCAAGCATATCCTTTGCAACATTCTTATTATGACTAGTTATTATTTCTCACATATCCTTTGCTTTATTATACATAGACAAAATCTTAAGTTCTCAAATCTTATTATCAAACATACTTTTGTTAGTGTTCTTTAAATGCTTACATCTAATTTTAGAATAATGTTTTACTATATTTGTCATATTCTACCCCTTCATCTTAAAGTCTAAAACTAACAAGTAATGTTAGATACATAAATTTTTACTTGGAATAACTTTACAATCTTAATGATTTGTTTTTCTTATAAAAAAATAGATATCTATTCTTATAAGTGAAGAGATGCTCATCTTTTTTCTTAAATAAAGTATTAGCAATGATAAAATTATAAGTTATAGCAAAATATAATATAGTCTTACCACCTTCATTAGTCGCTCCAAACCCATAGCCTCCATAAATACTTTTAAAATTCTCTACTTCTCTACCAACATGCTCATTTAAATCTTCTCCAATAAAAATTCTTTCTTCTAGAGGTATCTTTTGAATTAATTCTTCTAAGCCATTCCAAAATCTTAATTTTAAACACATTTAAACTTGCTCGAGTAGTATAAGCACCTATAATATGAATAATCTTAGCATCAACAATAATCTTCAGAGCAATAATTATATCTTCACTTCTATCAATTTTTATAACATTATCCTTTAAACCCTTATTTATAATTACACATACATCATTTCTAGTATGACTTCTACCAGAATATCAAGGTTTAAAACCTAAACTATCAATCTCCTTAGGCTTCTCTCCAACCCATTTAGTTTCTTGAATGCATAAAATATTTATCTTCCTTTGGATTATAATATCAATTAATTCTATTAATGCCTATAAGAGAACCTACATTCCAAGATCCTATTCAAATTCTAGTTTCATCGACTAGATTTTTTGCCCACATCCATCCATGATGTAGGAACCCTTTCCTATTTAACATTGCACCTCCGGTGTAGTGGCCCTTGCTTATTTGTCGCTATATTCAGGCCATACAACGCGTCGCTTTCAGAAAACACCCTAACATTAACATAATATATTAAAGGATTCATGTCATGATTATTCGACAAGTTTTACGCTGGTTGTCGACTACCTAACACATCCTTATATTTTTCTCATGTAGGACTTGAGATATGGCAACAACAGTGGGTTAAAAATTTTATCTTTTGTAAAATTAATTAAGATGTTTACTAAAGTTAATTAGTTTCTAAATATAAGATTTAATTCAATTAGTTTAGCTATTTTGATAGTCTTAAATTATAATAAACCTAATTATATCCTATTTTTGGTAAGTTGATCCATTTGGTCAGTTTGATGTAGTTAGGTGTGTTAAATGGGTTGGATCATATTAGATTTGTGTTTCTAGCATTCCTAGCTAAAATTAATCTCATGAGTTTGATTTGATTTGACCAATTAATTAAGCTTGTCCACTTTGAAAAGTATATTTTTATTTGGGTCTGAAAGAGATATGTTGCACTGTTTTAATAAATTGATCATCTTAGAGTAGTCAAATTTGGTCAAGTCCAACTAGAATTTTATTTCTAACATATAGAGAATCACTCACAGCAATTTGACCAATTAAAGGATTTAGGCTAAGAGACATAGGATAGGAGCCTTAGGGGCATTTTGATATGTTAGGATTTTAGGTAAAACCATGGTCAATAAGAGTTGATAACTTCATAGGCAGATTTATTAATCCATGAATTAGAATAAAATTTACATTTTTTTTAATGCTAACACCCTATTTTCCCTTCGAAGTATTGATATGCATTTATATTTTTCACTTTGTTGTGATCACACTCTTGTTTTTATTGGCTCAGATCAGCTCTGAGGGAGTGGTGATAAGAGATGAAAAGGTCTTCAGATTTGCAAAAGAAATGAATGTACCCATTGTCATGCTAACTTCAGGTACTAATCACCTCAGCTTCGATTGGGACAGTTTTTTAGTATAAAAATTTTTAGTTTAAAAAATTTTTATACTAAAAGGTGCTTTAAAAAATAATAAAAAAAATGTTTCAAATTTAGGTTTCGTTTGGGACGGCTTTTTCACTCATTCTTAAAAGCAGCTTTCTCGTATAAAATTTTTAATTTTTGTACTAAAAAGTTGCTTTAAGATATAATAAGAAAGTCGTCTCAAGTTTCGTTTGGGACAACTTTTTTACCGCTTCTTAAAGCAACTGCTTAGTACAAAAATTAAAATTTTTGTACTAAAACACTACTTTAAGAAGCATTAAAAAAATCGTTCCGAACGAAGCCTTAATCTTCATCTTGGTATCACTATCGCGTGTTCTCTCAAATAGATATTCTCCTTAAGCCTGTTTTATTTCAGGTGGTTACATGAAATCAAGCGCTCGAGTTATTGCAGATTCAATTACAAATCTTTCAAAGAAAAATTTGATTGATCTGAACTCTTCTACAAATAACAATCTGTAATATTCTGATATCTATGTTTTTTAATTGTATAGAAAAATGTTTGTAATTAATATGAGATGTATGTTTGATGAGAAAATTTTTTTGCATGCATACCTTTTCTATGAAAACATTATTATGCAAATCATAGTTCTATTTGAAATATAAAAATGTGATGATTTTGTTCATCTTGGCACAACAAAATTATATTTGCAGTAGAATTGTATCAAATGAAATATATATATTTGTTTGGCTATTTTGTCAAATTAGATATTTCAAAATTTTAGGATTTTTTTTTTCATTTGCAAATCTAAAGATTTTAAGGGGAAAGTTACATATATTGAATCCTTATGTATTTGTTTATTTAATATTTAAATATTTCTATTTTTATATAATATTTTAACTTTTAAATTATGTGAAAAATGTGATTAACAGTAATTATCAAAAGTAAAATATATATTTTAAAGCATGAGTTTTGATATGGCTTAGCGTTAAGTTGTTAAAAAATTAAACAAAAAAGCTTGACCTCTTTAATTGGGTTTCTATTGCTTGACCTATTAATCGCCATCTTTGGATTACGAAGGTTCATTGTGTGATGCGACTCACGTCTCTTCGCCTTGAACGAGATCCATTGCCACTCTTCGCCTAAAGCACACAGTCGTTGTCGTTGCCCCTACCGCACTGCTATTGCCGGCCTGCCGCATCTCCTGTCTGTCACTGTTGTTGCGTCTCTTCGCCTCCTTCGAGGTCGTCGCCGGCCTAATGGCCTCCAACAACATTCCTTTGTTGGCCTAAGTATCGCTGCCTCGCCGGAATTGGAAGTAGCACGCTTCTTCAACCATATCTCTTAAATCCGTGTCGGATCTGGTCAGCCCGGAAACCCAACGGTTTGGGTCTCGGTTGAACAAATCAACCTATTTATAAAACCTCGTAATGTCAAATAGTAACGGGTCAGTTTTAGGTTTCACCCGTTAACCCAAATTGACAACGCTAATTGCATGACCAACATCATCAGATTCCCACTGCTTGATCATTATTATTGAGCCACCACCCTCACCCAATCACCTTTATCGGATCACAATGGCTTAATCATTGTCCTTGGTAGGGGTGTAAGTAAGTCAAGTAGGCTCAAGCTTGACTCGTTTAAGATGCAGTCAAGGCTAGCTATTTTATGTTTTCTTTATTTTCTACTTGTGTTTATAGCTCTCTTTCTCATGTGGCTTTTCATTTTCTCTTGTTGGCCCTTGGCTTCCCTATTGCCCTTAGGTTTCTCTAGCTACTGGCTGCTCATTTTACGCTCACTATTGATCCCTATAAAGGTGTATTGACTTCTCATTATGTTGGCTATTTGGTTGAGTTCTATTGGATGCTTGACTGGTTCATTTAGGAGAGCATTTAATGCCTTTTCTCCCTTCTTCTCCTATATAATGTGGCTGATTTTCTTGTGTAAAAAGAGAGATTTGTGATGAATTTTTGGAATGTGAAACCTATGAGTTTTTAGCTTGCAAGCTATCGTCTTCTACCTTCCCTTTACTAATTCGTATTGGACTTCTATCTTCTTCTCTCCATATTTTTTATTCCATTTGTATCCTTTTCTTGAAACTATTATAAGTTGTAAGTGATGTTGTGTCGTGTTTTATTATAAGTTATAAGGTGTTGTTATGTCCTATTTAATGTGAGTTTGAAGTGCCGTGTTGTTCAGTTTTATTTGTGTTTAAGTTATATTGAAATGAAGTTTTTAATTTGCATTCCTAGAACCAAGGTTATTTTTAGGTTACATCAATTTGGTAATAGAGCCTTATGTTTCATCATTTTGGTATCAGATACTTGGGTTGTCGTGTGAGTCTTTCTTTCTCTTTAAAAATAAAAAAAGGAAAGTCTAAACAGTTAACAAGCTGAAGCTTCAATTTAAGAGGAAGATCTGTCATCAGAAAGAACGCATTTGGAACCTCAGGGAAGCACTGCCATTCAACCCAATGAATCAAACCAAGTAATCCATAACTTTTCATCAATAAATTGGCTTTCGTTTCAAGCAATTTCTACATATCGAATTTAGAATGATCGTCCGGATATCTTCCAGCAAGTTATTGATGCATTCTCATCAGGAGATGATATTCTTCTAATATGGGAGAATTGATGCAGTTAATCTGTGAAAGTTGTTTTTCTTCCAGGATCGTCCAGGACAAAGTTGGATCGTCCTGGGACGATCGGTACAGGTTGTGAAGAAAATTATGGCAGAGAAGTTCGTCCCAGGACGAACTGGGGTTCGTCTGGACAAAAATGCCTCCCGAGAGCAAATCGTCCCGAGACGATTTGGGATCGTCCAGGACGATCTGCATGGGTTTATATGAAAAAGAGATCTTTTTGAAGAGAGAGAAAAGCTCAGGAGAGAGAAATTCGAAGGAAAACGAAGAAAAAGTAATTTTTGGATGACTTCTGTCCGTTTCCGTCCCTAGCTGCAGTTGAGAAAGTTGACCAACTCGAGGTAAGACACATTCCTCCTTTCTCAATTTTCAGAAACGAGGATTTTGACGACTTTTCTGTTTCAGATTTTGTTTCCGTTAGCGAATAATTGATTCGTTTTGTACCGATAAAGGTTTTACCGCGTAACTTTTGGTATGTTTCTAAGATGATAATTGTGCACGTTTTGAGTATTTTTTGGAATATTTTTATCGGGTATTTCGAATTCTGCGGAGTTTTGATTGATTAACAATTTATTTGGATGTTTGAATTTACTGTTTCAGTACAATGAAAGTCTTATAATGATGTTGTGTACTCTCTATGATAATTTGGTAAATTTCTGAATCTGTGAATTTTATGGAAAATTTCGTATACTGCCATTATGCCGCTGACGATTTTTCTGATGAATTCTGATTTTTTGATTTGAATGAATTGTTGTGCTGTGATATAAAAAGAGAGTTATAAGGGGCCGGAATCCTTTGGGATTCCGTTGTCTGGGTCCGGGAAATCTGAAAATCTTAGAATCAGTTTTGTTCTGAAAAATTTCGTATATCTGTTCTGTTCTGGTGCTTCAAGCACAAAGGGAGACATAAGGGGCCAGAATCCGTCAAGATTCTGTCAGTGTCAGGGGAGGGAGGCATAAGGGGCCAGAATCTGTAGAGATTCTGTAAGGGTCTGGGAATCTGAAATCTGATATGTGTTCTGAGGTTGAAATGTGATTTCATCTGATTTGACATATGTTCTGTACTATTCTGTTTGTTCTGTACGATTCTGTCTGTTCTGTGAATCTGACTTGAATATTTGGTTATGAAGGGAATTCTGTTTGATGTATAAGTGATTTGATTTCTATTTGATCAAGTATCTGTATTCTTATAACTATATGATTTATGTACAATTATTTGAATTCTGTATGGCTATTTAAATATCTGCTTCTGATATGTTTTCTGATGAAAATTTTTTGGAGATTTGGATTGGTGAGTGTAGTCTTGCTGAGCTGTTAGCTCATCTTTATTTTCTGCGTGATTTTTAGGTTCTGGGAAAGGGAAGGAAGTATTGGACTAGAAGTTCAGTGTCTGATGTGTGATTAGGTATTTTGCACTTTTGATTTTTTGTACAGTCATGGCTTTTATGTTCTGTTCTTTTCGTCTATAGCTATGCATTGTATTGTACATGATTATTTTGATGAGAAAAAAAAAAAGAAAGAAGGAAAAAATAGTGGATGCATTTCTGTATATTTGGATGTTTTTAGCAGCTCTGTGTTTTCTGTCTGTTTGTTTGAATATCGGGAAGAAAGTTCTGAAGCAAATTTCAAAACTAGATCCTGGATTTCAAGTTCTATCGCCACTCGATGCGAGCGAAATTCGTTCCGGTCGGGTTGGGTCGTGACACAATTCTAGCTATTTTATGTTTTCTTTATTTTTCACTTGTGTTTTAAGCTCTCTTTCTTCTATCACTTTTCATTTTCTCCTATTGGCCCTCAACTTCTCTATTGCCCCTTCGATTTCTTCTGCTGGCTGTTTGTTTTTTCTTACTGGCCCCTTCGTTTCCCTTCTGTTGGTTCTTGATTTTCCCAGCTGGCTCTCAGTTTCCGTGTTACCGTTTAGTTTCTAGCTGCTGGCAGGTTGTTTTTGGTTCTTTGTTGATTTCTATGATGGTGTTTTGACTTCTCATTATGTTGGTTGTCTAGCTGAGTTCTATTGGTTGCTTGGGTGCTTCATTCAGGAGAGCATTTAATGCCTTTTTCCCCTTCCTCTCCAATATAATGTGGTCAATTTCCTTGTGAAAAAAGATAGATTTGTGATGAATTTTTGGAATGTGAAACATGCGGGTTTTTAGCTTGCAAGCCATCCTCTTCCACCTCCCTTTGCTAATTCATCTTGGACTTCTATCTTCTTCTTCTCTCCACGGTTTTCATTTCACCTGTATCATTCTTCTTGAAACTATTAGAAGTGTTAAGTGGTATTGTATCTTGTTTTATTGTAAGTTGTGAAGTATTATTATGTCCTGTTTAATGTGAGTTTGAAGTGATGCGTTGTTATGTTCTATTTGTGTTTGTTTAAGTTATATTGGAAGGAAGTTTGTAATTTGCATTCCTAGAACCAATGTTGTTTTTAGGTTGCATCAGTTATCGAGGGCTGCAAGTTCGAGCGCGAGCTTGTACTTGAGCTTAAGCCTAGCTCGGCTAGAAGGCTTGTTGAGCTGCTCGATTAAATTAAAATATATATGATAATTAATTTAAATTAATATTACATAATATAGTTTAATAATATTAAATTACTTATATGTTAACAAATAAAAATTCTTACAAATTTAAAAATTTTAATTTAAAATTAAAAAATTAAGTTCAACAATTGAGTTGAGCTCTTACTTTCTAAACGAGCTCGAGCTATGAGTTTTTAACTAGCAGAGCTCGAGCTTAGTAAACAAGCTTGAGTTGTGCTAGAGCTCGAGCTTAATAACAGTTAAATAAGCTTAGCTCAATTAGGGAGATACTCGACTCGACTCGACTTGTTTACACACATAATTGTCAGACCGCTATCACTTAGTCACTATTATATAAACTCCTCTCATGCCCTATCGGCTCTACACTTTTTTCCATCAAAGGCTCAAACTTTGCGATCTCAACTTCTCCAATTTAGGTGATGGGCAAATCTTTGGAATCAATTTTGTCATTGTACTTATCCAAATATTCTAATATGCAATAATTATATTATTATTCTTTAAATAATATTAAGCTTAATGCTAAGTTTTTCACAAACCTAACATAAGATTTGCTTTGCCTTTCACTATATATAATATTACTTTATATATTCTTATATCATAATTCATAGTAGGGGTGTCAATATTTGACACGACACGAAAACTCGATCCGGACCCGACCCGAAAAATCCGGGTTGGACCCGACCCGATTTCAAAACGGGTCAGGTTCGGGTTCCAGAAATCGACCCGTTTGAAAAACGGGTCGGGTTCGGGTTGACCCGGCGGGTTGCCGGGTCAACCCGCGAACCCGTTTTAACCTAATGCGCGACCAAGCCAGCCCCGTTGCCGCGCTAAAAACGGCGCTCGACCCCGTGGCGCGACCGCTCCGCCGCTTCCACTGCGTGACAACTCCGCGCGCGACCACCGCGACCGCGCGACCACTGCTCCGTGACCACGCCTTAGCTCCGTGACCGCGACACCGCGATCCGCGCGACCACCGCACCCGACATAGCACCGCGGCGTCCGCGCGACCCAGCTCGACCAGCATTCCCGGGTCGGGTCGGGTCAACCCGGCAACCCGCCGGGTCGGGTCCGGGTTCGCATTTCCAACCCGTTTTCCTAACCGGGTCGGGTTAGGGTCGACCCGTTTGAACCCGGGTCAGTTTCGGGTCCGACCCGAACCCGACCCGTGACCCGAAATTGACACCCCAAATTCATAGCAAAAATCAAATAAAATTTACCCATCAAATCATTTAAAATAAACAAATAATTTAATTTATTAGTTAATTTACTCTCTTTGAAGACCAACAAAGTTCATAACACAATTTTACTCTCTTTTCTTTCCCCATTTAAAGCTCTTTTTCCTTAAAAATTCTAGAAGCTTCATTCCAGAATTCTTCTAAAGTAAGTTCTTATACAACCCTTCTTAGTTCTTTCCTTCGCTCTACCAATTCCAAAACCCCAATGGCGAACTACGGTACGATACCTTCCTCCGCTTCTCCTCCATCTCTCGACTTCATCTCCCGCGCCAAGGAGCGTGGCCGAGCTGCTCTCTCAACTCGCCGGCCATGGAGCGAGATGATCAGCGCCCGGGTCTTATCCCTTCCCCCGAGCCTCGGCGATGTCTATCTCCGGATCCGCACAAACGTCACCTATTTTTCCATGAACTACGGCATCGTCTTTTTATTCGTCGTCTTTCTCAGCCTGTTGTTGCATCCCGGTTCCCTCCTAGTCTTCTTCCTCTTGATCGGCGCATGGATCTTCCTTTTCTTCCTCAGGGATCAGCCACTTGTGATTGGTGGTCGGGCGTTTGATGAATCGTTTATTCTCATCTGTCTATCGGTTGTCACCATTGTGTTGTTGTTGATATCCAATTCTACCGTGGACATTGTTGGATCGGTGGCTACCGGGAGTGTGGTGGTTCTAGCGCACGCGGTGCTGCGGAGGACCGATGATCTGGCTGTGGATGAGGAGGCGGCGGTGGCCGGTGGGTGGTATGCGGCTGTTGGGGAGAGCAGCAGGACTTCTCCGGCATCATAGTTCTGGACGATTTAGGTATTCATTTCAGGATTTATTGAAGCTTAGGTTTTGATATTGTTGGATGTTTGATTTCCAATTTTTTACTTGTATAGGTTTGATTAGGAGCATATCCCTTTTCTTATTTTTCAGTCATTCACAAATTAATGCAGTTTTAATGATTTTTTGTGTGATTTATATGTTACAAATGCCTTTGATGCGCATCATTCATGTTCTTGTTTGGCAGCTCATGTAGACCTATTTCAACAACGTATTTTGGATGTTTTAATTACTACTATTCTACCGTTTTCATCTCCGGTTTTCTTGGAAGAAAGGGATTTTTACTTGTGGTTATCTATTTTTATGTTGTGATTATAGAGCTTTAACTATGGGTGTTAAAATGGGTTGATGGATCAGGTTTGGGTCCGTATAAAAGTTGACCCAAACCAAATCTAGTCAATTCAAATTCGATCAGTTTAATAAACAGGTCAAAAACACCAACCCTTTTAAACCTATTTTTGTTTAATTTTTTTTTTAGCTTACTAACTATAAAGTTTAAAATATTTGATAAAAAAATAAGAAGAATATACTCATAAGCAAAAAAGTTTAAGGATAAAAAATATCAAATGAATTATTTCCAAGTTAAAAATGGATTTGTTGGTCAACTTGAATTCAACTGGTTTAATAAGTTGGTCAAAAAACCTAACCTGAACCCGATCTCTTTATTAAACAGGCCAAGCTTAACTAAAATTTTTTGGGCCTGATTGACGGGTTGAGTCATTTATTGAAACATCTAGCTTCAACTATTTTCCCCAAATGTTTCCCACTCTTCTTTTTGTCCAAATGGCGCGTTTTCATTTCTCTTCATATTTTTTGTTGAAAGATCTGTAGGTTGTTAACTCTGTGATTAGTTTTGAGTTGTTGATGACCTGTTTGCTATATGGTGGTTATTTAAGTTTAGTTTTCGGCTCCAAATCCTTCTCCACCATCTTTAATTGTAACCACACTGCACTTCACCTCTTCATCTTCCTCTTCCAGTGAAGATTTTGGGTTCTTGGTCACAACTGGAGCACTTCGAGTATCCTGTGGCTTGTCACTCCCAGCTACACAACCAAAGCTCTGAAACAGAAAAGAAATGAACATAGTAATTCTCTTCCTGCTCAGCTTTGATTTTCTCCTTTAGAAAAAGATTACAATATTAGTAATTGACCGACGGAAAACAGTTACAACAGACTCAACTAGCTGTATTACAAATTTCAATTTCTACTAAACTCCAGTTTGCGCCTTACAAATATGATAACAATAAGAGATAGTTACACTCAACTAACATATCCGTCAACCATGCCAGTGTTTTTGAAGAAATTATTATGTGCGTACAACGGACTGTCTGGGGCCGAATCAGAGCGTGTCAGGTCACATAGTACACGGTGGGTATACAGCCGTGATACACAACAAAGAGGTGATGTGGCACGCTTTGATTCGCCTCTGGATGACGTCTATATCTGCATAGAATAATTTCACCTGTTTTTGTGCTCTGTTTTCGGTGACCTTGTCCTTAAGATCAAAGATCAGATAGACCAACTGTAATTCTTATGTAGAAATCTAATAAGGGTCCTCTGTCTGGTGTCAAACCATCCATTGAAGTAAGTACTGCATAACCTGTTTATTGTTATGAAAAAGGGAACGCTGGTTAGGAAAACCTTTTGGTTGCAGTGGTGGTTGGCCCTCTATTAATGGTACTGATAGTGTCGCTGGGTGTAAATTGAAATCTTTGCAGAACAATATAAGGCAAAAGCTGGATGTATTTTACTTGTTTCCAGAAATCCCAACTTGTAAGTTGTCGGCCCAATCTTTGCTTTCACCCAAATTGTTCATAAAATCATATTCAATTTGCTAAAAGGCTGTGTGACTATTGATGATTGTTAATAAGGAGAAATTATTCTGTGCGGAGACCGGACGACGAGAACAGTTCGGATTTGCTGTCCTTTAACGTCTCTTTTGCAAATACTTAGCAAAATGGCAGCAAAATGGCAATCATGAATGCACTTTTGCTGAGTATTTGCAAAAGCGCAGCAAAATGACAGCAAATATTTCATTAGTAGGATATTTGTTGCGCTTTAGCTACACTTTTGCCGCGCTTTAGCTACACTTTTGCCGCGCTTTTGCAAATACTCAATAAAAGAGTAACATAAGTGTAATTGTGAATGCATATTTGCTGCCATTTTGCTGAGTATTTGCAAAAATGCAGTAAAAGAACAGCTAATGTGCAGCAAATCCGGAATGTTTTTGCCATCCAGTCTTCACACAGAATAATTTTTCATCAATAAGACTGTAATTTAGCTCACATTTGAGCACCCCCTGCAAAACTTATTCTCTGAGATGTTTTTGCTCTAATTGCTTCATAAGATTCTCTATGTGGTGTATGTTGATTCTTGGTTGCGTCAATACTCTATCTCTTTCCTTCAATAACACATCAACTGCCTCCTCATTGGTGTTATGATAGTCATATGGTATAGTAGACGGTGATTGACGTCAATACTCTATTGAGAGTCGCTACCGTGGTGGTTGGCCCTCAATATTTGACACGACACGAAAATCTGATCCGGATCTGACCCGAAAAATCTGGATTAGACCCGACCCGGTTTCAAAACGGGTCGGGTTCGGGTTCCAGAAATCGACCCGTTTGAAAAATGGGTCGGGTTCGGGTTGACCCGACGGGATTTTTTTTATTTATAATAAATATTTGTTTAAATATTAGATAAATTATTATTGGACCATAGCAATTAATTTACATTTTACGTGTTTATAAAATTATAAATTATAAATTTAAATTATTTGTCCTCAGGTTTAGTTCATTTTATTTTAGTTAGTTTTTTTATGCTCAAGAATATAATCATATATTGTGATTGTTTGATTCTAAGTATTGTATATAATTTTTTTAAGTAATATAAATACATATGGATGTTTTCATCAATAGAATTTACTTTCACTGATATATGATTCTATTATTGATAAATAAAATTAGATAGTTCTGAATGTTGTCTAATAAAAGATAAAAGAAAGAATTTTTTCAAATTAAATTTTTAGGCATAACATATATGATAAGGTAATAGTAGCATGTAAGTAGAACCATCAATCCTCTTAATAACCTCAAAAGGTCCAATGTATCGTGAACATAATATAGTGATTATTTCAAATACGCTGACATCTTTCATATGATTGACTTTGAAATAAATAAAATTACAAACTTAATATGAACGATTTTGCATTTATGATAATAATATTTTTTTTGTTTATACTGTAAAGAAATCAATCTTTCTTTGATTTGATGGATCCTTGTAGTTTCATCCACAAAAGCTGACCCCATCACATGTTAATTACCCACCTTTGTTAAAGACAAATGGGTCACAAACGAGTCTTGCATTTTCTACTATACAGAGCTTCATAAAGAGTCATATTTATGATGGACTAATAATTGTTATAAGTAAACTCTATCAGTGGAATATTATCCTCCTAATTACCCCCAAAATTCAAACCATAGAATCTGAGAAGATCCTCCAATATCTTAATAGTACTTTCGGACTGTCCGTCTATTTACGGATGAAGAGTTATACTAAAATTGTAAATATCTAGTTCATTAATGAAAAAACAACAACCGAACTATGAGCATCCGTATCAGACCAAGATATTTAACTAATGTTCATAGATTTTGAACTTATGAAAAAATGAAAAATAATTATGTAATCTTGCATGCCTCACTGATATCTAACAGCTAGTTGATGGTAACTCAATACTTACCACATGCCTAGATCATCTCAGTCACACACTCTCTCTTAGGGCAAACATTTTCACTAAACTTAGTTACATGATGCGCGTATTCATAGTACCCTTAGTTATACTCGCCACGATCATCTGAGCCAATGCTCTCCCTTCATAGCATCTCACTAACCTCACTCTACGCAGGTGATCTCGAAGCTCTCATACAAGTCCCTAACTACATCAGCCCACTCGCCAGTAGTCGGTTTCCTCGCTCACCCAAGCACACTTGCCCTTATCAACTTGATAAAGCTGGATACACAAAAAAATAATTCCCCAAAAACCTTCCAACCTCATCCTCTTTATGCCAATTAGGTGGTGGCACATGTTTAAGGCAAAATGCAATGTTGTACTTATTTTACTTTTTCTTGTGCAAATTTTCATGTAGCTATTAGAAATCTATAAGTAAAGGATGATGAATATCCATAAGCAAAATGCCCCTTTATTACAACTCATAATTTATATAATTTTTTAGTGATCAAGTTATTCCCACAAATTTTGAAGGAGACTGGCATATTCTGTCACAGTCTTGCTTCCTTATTTTGTGCTTCTCACCTTGACCGTAATTTTGAAGATTTGGGCAACATCCCGAGCTTTTGAGAAGATTTGTCTAGAGACATCCCATATGCCCTTTTCAGTAGATAGGAACATAAATGTATAACTAATTTCTGGAGTCATGAAATTTCATAGCCATGACACAATCATGGAGTTCTCTTCATCCCATGCTAAAAAGTTAGGATCTCCTTCTTTTGGTCCTCCTCCAAGGAGGTGGTGCATCTTTCCTCGCCCTTTCAGTTAGGTCTTCACAAATTGAGACCACTTCAGATAGTTCTTCCCATTTAGGCGATAGAAATGTTGCATACTTTGGAGATCGCCCCATCCTTGGTTATGAAATTTTTTTTAATTGATATAGTAGATAACTAGATACATTGCCATCTTAAATACTCACAATTTCTCACGTATTACACAACTCTCTCTCTCTCTCTCTCTCTCTCTCTCTCTCTCTCTCTCTCTCTCTCTCGTACACTCTTTGTTTTGACCTGTTAGTATGATCGGGTGTCTTTCACGAATAAATTTGAATTCAACGATAATTATGTCAAGTATCGTCTTATAAATATTATATGGTTTTTAAAACCTTAAAATTTATTTTTATGATTAGTATTACATATAAATAGATTATCTTATATTAGTTTTAAAATAAAATTCAATAGTTTTCAACCGATATCTTGATACAACCTTAAAAAAATACAGTCACAAAAGAAAATAACTCATGAAACAAAGTTTTAACATCATTATTTTTTATCATTACCTAGTGACATATACAGAAAAGAAGATTGTATTTCGATTCCATTAGAGATTGTATTTATAGCAAATTTCTTATTTGTACGACATATCTCACATAAGATATCTCTAGTAATAAACTTATTAAGGCTTAGGCTTTGTTTGCGACGGCTTTTTTATTGCTTTCTAAAACGGAGTTTTAGTACAAAAATAAGAAAATTTGTACTAAAACTCCGTTTTAGAAAGCAATAAAAAAGCTGTCTCAAACGAAGCCTTAGTTTGAGACGCTTTTTTATTGTTTCTTAAAGCGATTTTTTAGTATAAAATTTTTAATTTTTGCACTAAAAAGTCGCTTTATGAAGCAGGAAGAAAGTTGTCCTAAACAAAGCCTAAATCATTTTAAGTGTTTTATGAACTTAAAAAGCTAGCAATTTTTTAACTAAAAAAATACTTTAAAAACCAGGAAAAAAAGCTCTCTCTAACGAAGGCTTTGTTTGGGACGACATTCTTAATGCTTCTTAAAACAGCTTTTTAGTAAAAATCTTGTACTAAAAAACTATTTTAAAAAGCAAGAACGAAGCCATCCCCAACGAAGCCGAAGTTTAAATCTGACAAATTTGTAAGACATCACATTTGTAAGCCCGCAGAACCCAACAAATCCTCACAATCATCCCTAACTAAATTCCTCATAATCGTCTTTTGATCGCAACCAACCATCAACCCTCACAATTGTCCTTTGCAGTGCCCCTTATTGTGGTACTCTGCACTCATAACAATCTCAATCATCATAGCGCCAACAATTTCTATCATCTTTTTACAACCACCTTTTAACACAGCTCACTTTGATCTGTTAGCTGATAACTTTGGCTATCAACTGAGTGGTTTTGAATTCTCGTCTTGAGTATGCGATATGTGTGTGTGAGTTTGTCCTCTTAAAAAAAGACTTTTAGTTTAATTTTTTTTTGTATTTAAAAGTTACCTTAAAAAATAATAAAAAAATAATGTCAAACGAAATCTTAATTGACCTAAATGTCCTCACAAAAAAACAACCACTTTGCATGTTGTCGATGACTCGTTGTCATTTACATTACATATGAATATTATTGCTGGTGCGCTAGACTAAAATCAAGAGATAAATTTTCAACTAATCAAATAAAAAAATGTCATACATTATTTTATAATTAATTAAAATTGAAAAAAAAAATTTTTCATTTACATTATATTTGAGTTATCAAATATCCTAAATAATTGCAAATAAGCAGCTGCTATAAATATATACTTCTGAAATAAATATTTAATTATTTTAGCAAATTCTTACTCCAAAATATTTACCGTATCCTCGTAGGGGTGTAAATGAGTCGAGCTGAGGTCTTATCGAGGTTGGCTAGTCGGTTGGAAAGCGAGCTGGAATTTGAGCTCGTCCAACTGTAAATGAACTCGGACGACTCGTGAGTCATGAACATGATTTTTAAAACTCAGCTTTCAACCCATAAACGAGTTGAGCTCAAGCCGACTAGGAAGCGGCTGGCTCACTTCACCCGTGTATCTGCTCAAACTTCTCTCCCGCAACAGAGATAAGGGCGGGTCCCACACGAAGCGAAATGGAGCGATCTGCCGGGCACTAGAAGTACGAAATTTCGGAAAAAAAATTATTAAATTTATTTTTGAAAATTTATATTTATTAAAAATTTGAAATATTTTAATCACAAAAAAAAATTTAACAGATTTCTGCTTCTTAATTCTTAATAAATTGTTACAGCAATAGCAACCAACCTCCAATAATTCTTGCCTTCTTCCGCAATTATCTTCGGCACTCTCTCGCTCTCTCTTTCTCTCCATGGGGTATCACCGGAGGATCGCGCCCGCCGCCGTTCCAATTTCATTTGTTCTTCTACTTCTATGCGAATCGTCACTGGCCTTCTACCTTCCCGGAGTCGTACCTCGCGATTTCCAGAACGTAATGCCATTTTTTATAGTTTAATTTCGTATTGGAAACTATTCGGATCTGCTAGGTTTAAGTGGTCTATTGGGTTTCGTTAGGAGATCTGCAATCTTATTTTGTTTTTTCTTTGGGATCAAGACTTGTGATGGGTGAACTCAGTTTTGTTGGCTTGTTTTGAGATGGCATGTTTGTGATTTGTTTCCCATTGTGCAATGCGTGGTTGTTTAATCAAAATTTGGCTGCTGCTATTCTAAATCTTGGTATGTTTGTTTCAAGATTTGATTGATTTTTTTTTTTCTGGGGATTTAGCTTGATATCTATTTTGCTTCCTAAATGGATACTCACGATGTTTGATGTTTGGTTGTCGGTTGGCTTTTTGTTTTCTTGATGAATGCTCTTCAGTTGGATTTGTTGCGAACACCTAAAATTTTATAGGAATCTATTCGTTTCATCTGGAGCCCATAGATTGTTGTTTCAGTGGAGCAAGAACGTCCCAGTTTACCTGAATAATATTGTATTAAATATTAACTGATTATTTAGTTTAGATTTGTCTTTCAAAATAGTTGGTTGAAAATTGCCAGATTTATAGACTGAGTCTTTATGTTGGAAGTTTCAAATAGTCTGGAGAGTGATTAATAGAGGGAAATTAGATAAAACTTTTATAAGACAGTGGAGCATGTGACATGTTGTCAAGGGAATTAGTCAGGATGTGGAAGAAGCTATATAGTTTTTTTGTGCAACCGTAATATAATTTAACTATGTCTTCTCAGATGTTTTTTCCAAGGTTTAAAATTGTACAATTGAATATTGAGGTGTTTTTTGTTCGTAAGGTGAGGTGTAGGCCTCAACCTCAAAATAAAAAAAAATTGCATAAAGTAAAAAATAAAAAATAAAAATAATTTTTTATATAATACCTAAATAATATGTTAGAAGATGACATATTAACTTTCTATTGAACTATGAAGTAATAAATTGACATATATAAAATAAAAAAATCATATAAGACGTAAAATGATAAGTGATAAATTGTGTGAAATAGAATTGAAATCCAAATATTACAAGAATAAAATAATATTAAATATAAGAATTATATAAAGTATCATATAATATCAAATTTAGCTCCAAATTCATTCTTTCTCAGCTCCAATCTCATTCATATTCAATTCTAAAAAATGCTGAAATAGTTGGCAACAACTCAGAAATCAACTACACTGTCTTCACTGAGGGAATTTTTATTTGAGTCGTAGTCATAACAAATTAGTCTTTCCTGTCTCATCCTGTTGAGTTTAACGTCTCTCAATCTGCTTCTTCTTCGTTTCAGTTACCGTCCCCTTTCATAAGATGGTTTGACCAAGTATTTTCCTATATTAGGTGGATTATATCAAAGATCATCCTTAAGCCCATATCTTTTGCTTTAGTCATAGGTGTTCTCATTAGACATTTGCAAGAGATTGTACCTTATTGTATGTTTTGTGTGAATGATATTATTTTTGTTGATGAAACTAGAGTGGGAGTTGAAGGTAAACTTGAATTATGGAGGTCAACTTTAGAGTTTAAAGGTTTTCGTTTGAGTAGATCTAAAATTAAATATATGGAGTAATTTTAGCACTAATAGATCTAGTGGGGGATTGTGACTTTGGGCGATTAAGTCATTAATAAGACTACACATTTTAGATATATTGGGTCTATTGTTTAGAGTGATGGTGAAATAGATGGGAATATTATTAGTAGAATTCAAGTTGGATGGTTGAAGTGGAGGAATGCATCGGGCTTGTTGTGTGATAGAAAATCCCCCCTCAAACTTAAGAGAAAATTCTGTAAGATGGTGATGAGACCTGCAATACTTTATGATGCAGAATGTTGGTCATTAAAAGAGAAGTATAATATTAAGTTATGTGTTGCAAAGATGAGAATGCTCAGGTGGATGAGTGGCTTTACTCTTAGAGATAGGATACGAAATGAGCATATACGTGAAAATGTTGAAGTAGCTCTAGTGGGAGATAAGATTAAAGAGAGTCACCTTAGATGGTTTAGTCACATAAAACAACGACCTTCGATGATCTTGTTAGGAAAGTCAATATATTGGATTTGGCTTATGTTAGACCTAAAAAGACTTTGTTAAAAGATATTAGAAATGACCTTACTTTATTAGATTTAAATGATAATTTGACTCTTAATAGGACACAATCAAGAAAAAAGATTCATGTAGTCGACCCTATATAATGGGATAAAGGCTTGATGTTGTTGTTGTTGTATTGTTCTCTTTCATAAATATTTTTCATCAACATAAAGATGAGATTGTATGCCAACATTATTAGCGTAGGAGGAGGTGGTGGTGCGTGTTTTCAAGTGATCCCTGTGACAGCTACGACAATGGTGGCTACAACAAAGGCGGGGGCTCGAGATTAAGGCAGTCGAGAGGAAGTAGTTGTGGCTTGAGGGTGCATGAAAGCCATGATTTATTCGGGGCTTTAGTTTAGAATTTAGATAAGTTTTAATAAAAAATATATAAATATCGTTTAAAAAGGAAGACAAAACGTATGCCTCGAGGCACGCCTCGAGGCACGCCTCAATTTGAGGGGCAACCCAAGTGACTCGAGGCTTCGATTGCTCGGATGAGGGGTTCGATCTTTTCTGATGAGGTGTACGCCTGGAGATGTAGTGCCTTGAGGCAAATTGAGGCATTGTCTCAGTTTACTAATTTTTTTTTTAATAACACGTGAGCGATCGCGAGGCGAGTATAATGTTTAGGGCTTTACTGCTTCTTGAGAGGAGTATTAAAAAAGAACTCCTTCGCCATCTTCGACGACATTGTTTAAAATTTAACAATATGAGGTTCGCCTCAGCGCAATTCCATTGGAAAACGCCTCGAGACTTACGTCTGAATTTTTTTTATGAGGCTCGCCTTGAGGTGCGTCTCGCCTTACTGGCGTGAGGCCTACGCCTTAGTTGATTTATATTTTTTTTTATTAAAACTTACTTAATTCATAAACTAAAGCCCCGAACAAATTATGTCTTCATGCACCCCCAAGACGCAGTAACTTCCTCTCAACCGCCTTGACGTCCGGCCCATTGCCTTTGTCGTAACCACCACCGGGAATCACTTGAACTTCACACCACCACCACCACCACCTCCACCTCTAAAAATTTTGTAGTAATATTCTTATCTTTATGTTGATAAATATTTATAAAAAAGAAAGATAATTGAAATAAATGAAAAAGAAACTGATTGAGAGGCATTGAATTCCACAGGATGAGATATGGAGAGATCAATTTTTTATGACGATGACTCAAATAAAAACCCCGTCAATGATAGTAGTGTAGATGATTTCTAAGTTGTTACCAATTATATAAATTTTTTAAAAAACTAAATGTTAAATAATTAGTGAACTAAGAAAAAAGGAATTTATAGTTGAATTTGATGTTATTAGATACTTTTGCATAATTCATATATTTCATGGTATTTTGTTCTTGTAATATTTGATTTCAATTCTATTTCGCATAATTTATCACTTGTCATTGTATGTCTTATGCAATTTTTAGTTTCATATATATAACAATTTGTCCCTTCATAGTTTAGTAGAAAGTTAAATTGTCATTATTTAACATATTATTTGGGTATTATACAAAAAATCACTTTTAACCTTTATTTTTACTTTACACAATTTTTGAATTTTGAGGCGTAACGTCTTGAGGTTACGCCTCGCTTCACAAATGAAAAATGCCTCAATAGTCAATACCCAATCGCGCAATTTTAAACCTTGTTCGACAGTAACATTCCTGTCGAATTTGATATAGTTCACAGTGAAGGTAACAATTTAACTCCCATTTGCGTGTTGTTGTGGCTTCATCTTCTTTGTGTATGTGCACTATTGCGGCTTCGCCTTCTTTGTGATAAGTAGAGTTCTGAAAAAGACGATTCGATAGGAGCGCTCAATAGACAACCTTTATTCAACAAAAGATTGCTGCTTTGGGTGGGTTCGTCTGCTTCGTGTGAAGTTGGAGCTCGTAGTGAAGGTGATGTTATTCTTCCTCTTTGTTGATTGCTTTGGCTTTGACCGCTTCTTGCTTGCTACAACAAAGGTAACAATCTTTGTTCATACTTGTTTATTGCTTCTGTTTCACGTGCTTTGAAAATAGCTTCGGTTATGCCTCGAGGAATAATAAATTGAAAATATTACAATAATGATCTTTTCCATAAATAAATCTTTTAATTGATAAAAGATGAAAGAAAACAAACAAGATACAATGGAACCTCAATTGGAGAGGAGGATCCATCTCTCCCAATCTCTAGCCCGCGATTAGAGGCCAAGCAAACCTTAGGAACTCTCTAAAATTCAACAAATATCTAGATAACCCTAACTCTAAACAATCTCATCTATTTAAAGCATGCAAATATGATCCCAATTACTTAACAACCCCTCCTTAAATCAAATCATTCCTAAAACAACCCTTCCTCTTGAAGCAATGGGCCCCATAAGATCATCTGCCCCCTCTTTAAACCAATCATGCCTAAATTCTTCCCTTCCTCTTCAAGCAATGAGGCCCATCGGCGGCTGGCTTGGCTGTCTAGAGTAAACCAGCCCTAGGGCTGGTTTAGTTGGCCCTCCTTGGGTCGGCTCCGATCTAACAATATCTCCTCCCAAAGACCCACCTTGTTCGCAAGATGGAAAGACGACTCATTCCTCAACTTCCTCATTACCACAAATGGTGAGAATTTGAAGAGTCTGGTCCTTACATCTGTGCCCCGGTGTATACCTCTATTCACATTAGAAATAGAACCCCTTTTCCCTCTTCTCCTGCAACTCTATTTCTGTGAGCTTCTTAAAGTTGTCTCCAGTTCTTCCACCTATAGTCTTCTCCTTTAGGGTCTTTCGAAGGTACCCGGTGTCGGCTCCTTGGGTGCCAAAAAGTCAGTAGTCATCCTGCACGAGCTTCCGGAGCTGCTGCCTCCCGTCCCTTTCTCCAGGTGCCTCTAATCCTCTGCCAATTGAGCTAACTCCATAGATTCCCAA